TTTCTACCAAAAAATAACGGTGATACATTTCCCGAATTTAAGCCTAACAAGAGCCATATATGCTTAGGTTGCATCCAAATGGTACCCAAATCCTAGACAATATATTTCCATGTATACGAATGCCAATGTAAGCTCATTTTCGTATCATTTATGTGAATTTAAACAATACTAACATTAATAGTTCATAGCATTAGAAGATTTTATTTCATTCTAGATTAATGGGATTTAATTAATCCATGGACATCTAGGATTGGTTGTGCATGGATCTAGCCGCATGCGCCATTGATAGATAAAACAATGGTTTCTAAATTTAACCAAATTGAGATCACATTTGTATGGGAACGTGTTGTCGTGCTTAGTGCGTGCACGAATCCATGTGTAATGGAATTGGGTTCTTCGTACAAGTGGAGTTCTACGATGGGGGTGCGGACCACCATTGTGTAGAACGCGATCCTACAATGAATGGAGCTCGATCCTAGCCAAATAAGATCGTGGTACTGTTTAGATGGGGGCGAGACTCAACATTAAATGGGACCTCGTTCTTGTTGTCGACGGAAGCACGATCCAAATAGATATGAGAGTGCGTGTACCTATCAAATAGGGATCTCGATCCCAATGTATCAAGATCTCGCTCCCTGTTCAACCCTAATCAAACGGGATCTTGTTCTGTAAATACATGGAATGTGTTCCCGTTAAATAGGGTTCTCGATCCCAATGTATCGGGATCTCGCTCCCTGTTCAAACCGAATCTCGATCCATAACTTCTACCCTCACCGGAACGCGCTCCCCGACCTCCGGAGCTTCGGGCAGCCATCGATCCGATGCTTCCACTCCCGAAACCGGAGCTGCTCCCTCTCCCGGTAACTATGTTCACGACTCGAGGAGTTTTTAGACTCGACAGAGTAACTCGCCTCCACCAAGATCCAAGTACTTTGGCCGAATCGTATTTTAGAACACTGATCCCATATACGGGACATTGCTCTATCTATAGTGAGAGAGCTATTTAGAAAACAAGAAATGAAAAGATTGGGAGAGAGAGAGGGAGAGAGAGAGAGTACCTGAATCAAGAGCAATGGGCATCCTATCACGCCATCGGAACCAGGAACATGCATCAAAAGCTTCTCCCAACAAGGAAAAGGAGGCTTAAGAGCATCCCCAAACTCCTCCAAACTCACATCAGCATCCCCCTCCACAAACAAAACCCCCTCTCCACTACACTCCACACTCAACTTCTTGTTCTCCCCCTCTATCAACCTCCCAGCAAAAGGATAGTAATAGACCAACGCCTCAGACAACGCGTCCGTCACCACTCTCGCGGGATCTCGACCATCCATTTTGGGGTCCTTACGATAGAACTGGATCACCGGAATTTGGAAACGAAAGCCTTCTTGGTCATCGATGTCGGATAAAGGCTTGATTTCATAAGGTGTGGGTCTTGATGGACTTACAAGCATTGGTTTACTAACAGTAACTGAGAACACTAGAGTTTTCGTGGCCATTTTCTATGGTTTTGGTTCTGGTGGCCAGAAATGGCGATAGGATTCGGAAATGGCTGGATATTGAGGAGTGAAAATGGTGGCAACTTGACGAAAGGTAATGGAAAATGGTAGGAGGAGGGTGTATTTATAGAGGGAAAGAGGAAGGTTTGTAATGGGCTTTTTCCTTGGGACCTGGTTTATAACTTCCAAAGCATCTTGTTTAGAGTAATTTACATACGGATCCTATTTTAGGTAAAATAGAAAATGCTATTCTTACAGGCCGAAATCAGAGAGTCAAACCATTTTTCTTTTTTTTTTTTCTCAAACTTGTTCCTTTGGTAACTCAAATTTTGATTTTTCTGTGAAGTTTTTTTTTTTTCGTTTGAATTTTGATTTGTCCCTTAAGTTTTTTTTTAGTTTTTTCATTAGTAAGACAATCCCCTAAGTTTTAAGGTACTTCCCTACTAATGAAAAGACTTAGGCAGTACCCTAACTTTTAAGGTTAAAGACTAAAGAAAAGTTTTAAGGTACCCTAACTTAGGCAGTACCCTAAGTTTTAAAGTACCTACTAATAAAAAAACTAAAAAATACTTTAAAAAAAAAAATCAAAATTCGATTTGACCGAGGGGCACTTCTAAAAAATATAGAAAAAACGGATAGATCCACCTTCTTTTGTAAACTATTCACCCGACCGAGCATAGCATACCTGCTAAAAAACAATTGAAAGTTAGAAAGCGTGAAGACTGAAGAGAAAAAGACATTGCAAAGAACGTTGAAACCGCTCCTGTCATACTTTTCTTGAGGAATACAGGTATTGAAGTACCAAAAGAAGACAGAAAATGTGGAGCCACGCAGTGTGTGGAGGTGAATACGGTTAATGTGTGCCCCACCGGTTTGAATGCCTCTATCGATTTCTCACAAAACACAAAGAAATTGCAACAAGTTTGCTCCTTTAATATCTATTTTATCCCACTAATGACACAAATACTTCATTTCATAAAGGAAAATGGTTTGATAGGGCTGCAGCCCTATCAAAATAAGTAAATCTTTATTTCATAACTCATCGAAAAAAGAAAGTTAAGTGTTGGAAAAACTTTTACATCGATCATCTCAACTTGAACATTATAGTTGTGAAAAGAAAATTAGGATTTCAAACTCTACAAATAGTGTATATTATAACAAAGGAAAAAGTTTATATAGAGCCAAGACACTAAACAATCAAATTAGAGCCCACCTCAAATTTTCACTTGAAGAGGTTGTTTAGATATCTAATTATCTTCAAATTGATTATCTCAAGATCAAGATGCATGGACATGAGAAATAATGAATTTCAAGTTTTGGAAATAGTATTTTTGGACTGTCAATTTTCAAGAATTTCAAGTCTTTATAGATCTGCTTGATCTACACTATTTTTGAAGGTTTAAATGTTATAATTAAAGATGAAATTATATTTTAAGGCTATCACAAATATTTTCAATATTAAAACCACATTTCTCAACACTCTTTAAAGGTGGGCTCTAATTTGATTGTTTAGAGCTTTGGCTCTATACAAACTACACCCTATAACAAAATATATAGACTATCCATTTTGCCTTTAAAAAAAGTGTTCAATGATCGGTAAGTGTTCAATGATCGGTAAGATCCGTACTATTTTTTTAGTTTCAAATTTTATTATCAGTATTGGAAATTAATTTATTGTCAGTGTTCAATGATCAGTAAGATCATAATTTTTAAGCTACATGATTCTTTTCTTATCATCACCTGTAACGATAATATCATCAACATAAATGAGTATAACTGTTGAATCTGAAATCCCATTTTTTATAAACATCGATGAATCAACTGAACTTCTAAGAACTCCGAAACTCATCAAAACAGAGCTGAATTTGGTATACCATGCGCAAGGTGATTGTTTAAGTCCATGCAAGACCTTCTTTAATTTGTATACAAGACCTTTCACATTTTCTTTAAAGTAACCTGGAGGAAGTCTTCTTCAAGGTCGCTAAGTAAGATGGAATTTTTAGTATCCATTGGATGCAGAGATTACCCACAATTAACTGCGATAGACAAAAGAACATGAACAATTTTAATCTTGGCAACTGATACAAAAATCTCTTTATAGTTGACTTCATAAGCTTGGGTAAATCATTTGGCCACCAACCTGGCCTTATGTCTCTTAATAGACTCATCACTATTATATTTTATTTTATAAACTCATCTACATCCAACTGCTTTCTTCCCCTTAAGTAGCTTGACAATGTCCCAAGTATGGTTCTTATCAAGTACTTAAAGTTCCTCTTTCGTGGTCTTCCTCTACACAGGTTGAGAAATAATACTTTGAAAATTGGATGGCTCAGATTGTTAGAAATAGATCTCAAAAAAGCAAAATAACCAAGAGTGAAATTTTCATAGGAAATATAATTTTGAAAGGAAAAGAAAGTGCATGATAAGTATAAAAATATTGAAGTCTAGACGAAGGTTAAGAGGTATGAGAAGACCTACGTAATGGGGATCAGGTGAGGCCATGGCCACGGCAGAGTCTTCTTCTTCTAAACCAATTTAGTGAGTTTTAGAGGTATCTTCAACTTTGGCTTAATCATCATGACTTGTTCCATGTATATTGACACATCATTGATACTAATATTAGGAAAAGGCAAACAACCTGTTGAACACTCCCCCTGAGTCCTATTTTCCAAATCACTCTCCAATGTGTCATGAAAATTGAACATCTTTGGAAATATGCATTTTTTTTTTTGTGGAATCATAATATTTGTATCCATTTTGAGTAGAGGAGTATCCAAGAAGGATACATATACCTGAACGTCTGTCAAGTTTCTCTGGTTGTGCTCAGCCACAAGAATATAAGACACGCATCAAATACTCGCAAATGGGACAAATCAATTTTTCTATTTTTCAAAATTTCAAGGGGAGATTTATCCTTAGGAAATTTACTTGGAAGTTTGTTAATCAGATAGCAAGCAATTAAAATAGCTTCAGACCAATAAATTTTAGAACATGCATCTGAAACATCAAAGTCCTTGTAGTTTTCAAACGGTGTCTATTTTTCTTTTCAGCAACTTCATTCTGCTGAGGTGTTCCAACACACGATGTTTGGTGTATAATACCAAGATTCAATAAATCCTCAGCAAAAGCTTTGTTCACATACTTTGTGCCATTATTAACCCATAGAATTTTAATCTTTCCATTGTATTTAGTAGAAATCAGTTTAGAAAATTCTTTGAACACAAGAAAAACTTTTGTTTTTTATTTCAATACATATACCCAAGTAGAATGGGACCAATCATCAATAAAAAAAAAAAAATGTTTAAAATTGACATAAGAATCAACTGAGGATAGTCCCCACACATCAGAAAAAAGGGCTCCTTTAAAATATGTATAGAAGTTGAAAATGAAGTATTGTCTGTTTTGAAAATTTACACACATCACAAGAATGAGAGTTTAAAGATAGAAAGGGCATTAACATTTTCAAAATTTTATCTAAAGGGTGTCCAAATCTCCTATGCCACAATTTGTTAATATTGAAATTATCTTAAGTAGCAACCAAAGCCTTATTCTTCTGATGGAATAAATACAGCCTATCAGACAATCTTCCTTCACTAATCTTCCTTCCCATGGCCTGGTCATAGAAAGTCACAGAGTTGCAAGAAAAAATAACATTGCAATTCATGCTCTGAGTAATTTTACTAAACGACATCAAGTTAGAGGAAAATGATGGTGTAAAAAGAACTTCAGAGTTTTCAAATTTGAAGAAGAAATAGGTCTTATCAATACCATGTATAGGAATTAATGAACCATTAGCAATAGACACAGGGGTCATATTTTCATTATTTTTAAGATTGGATAGACACTGTAAATTGACAGCCATATGATATATGGGCCCTAAGTCTATTATCCAAGAAAAAGTATCACAAGAAGATATAGAAGCAGAATGGTTACTTGTGTTTGGGCATGGATAAGAGGGTTCTTGTTTGGAGGAACAGACATTGTTATTACTTAGTTGTTGATAATGATCATACTTATAGTGATGAGTTTGAATGATTACAGTTTGAGCAGTAGATCTGTTGGGGCCGCTACCTCCACCATTATTTTGAAGCTTTTTTGTTTCATATTTCTCATTATTAGCATCCAGGGGAGATTTTTCAACATTTACTTTAAAAGTTTCAAAACCAAGATTCATGATTTTCTTCTTAATTATGTATCCAAGTTTAGATTTTTCAAAGAGAAAATGAGAAACAACTTTCAACCAAGTAAGATAATTAAGTTTATTCAAAGGAACAATACTAAGTTTCATGCTGGAGTTATTTTTTGAATCTGCCATTATAAAGAGATGACAAGAACCATAACACTGACCTGATCCATGGAAAGGGTGATAAAAGAATAGAAGACGCCTCAATCAGAACCAACTGAAATCCTCAATAAGAACTATTGTTTCTCACTAGAAATCACCAATATGTTTCTAACAGCTTGTGTTTCTTTTCAAATCGGATCTTACAACTATTGGACTAGTAACCATGCTGAAAAAAAAAAAATTACCCTCATAATAATTTACAAACCAAGATCCAATAATTTACAAATCAAGAAACTTGCAAACCAAAACCTTGCATATCCATCCTGCTTCTTGCAAACCAAAACCTTGCATATCCATCCTGTGCAAGGAGGTCAACGTTGCAAATCACAAAACTTTCTAAACCACAAAACTTTGCCAAAGGTTGTAAACCAAAAAACTTCTTGCACGGTGGACTCCCCTTTGCACTTGTTAACTTATTGAGGCTTTCTGAATGCTACAATTACTTTCCGTGAGCCTGAGCTGGTGGATCTCAGTACTTCATCCTCTTTCTCTTCGACTGATGATGATGAATGGGAGTCCATGGTGGCGCCGGATGCTCGTCATGGGGTCTGTCCTTCTGGACCAGGTTCTTCATCTTCTACTCCCTAATTTTAATGAATTTTCTTTCATGGAATGTTAGGGTGATGGGTGACCCCAGGCGTAAAAAAGATGTTCGGTTTTTAGTTTCTAAGTACAAATCTATAATTTTGGCTTTACAAGAGACCAAACTTCCTTGTCCTT